AAAAAAAAAAGAAAATCATAGTTGTTTCTTGAGAGTGGAAAGAAGTGGTTCATTTCTGACACTTATCAGTAATTTTGGAAACTACAGAACTTCCGAAAGTGTCTCATACATCAGAATGCCCAGGAAGGCAGGAAACTAGGCAAGATACTAGGTAGCTTCCTACATGAGGATGCTGACCAAAGGGAGCTGGCAAATTTTCCTTTTCAAAAGTAGAATGAGGGCTGGACAAATAGTCAGTGGATTAAAGCACCTGCAAGCAGACTCGGGCCGGGGGTTCACTTCCTAGGCCTGCCATGCTGGCCCTGCCCCCAGGGTGCACTGAGATGGAGATTGAGACTGGGCATGGTGGCATGTGCCTGTAATCCCAGCTCTTGAGAAGTTGTAAACAGACTCACTAAGAGTCCGATCTAGCAGTGAGACCCTGAACACCCTGTAGACCCTTCCCTAAAATACAAAAAAAAAAAAAAAAAAAAAAAAAGGTAGAATGAAGCTTTTCTAGTCTTGAGGTGCCTCTGTTTCTATTGTGGTTTCAGCAAGTAGGCTCAAAATCATCTCTGTACCCTGTAAGCAGTTAGTCAAGTCCAATTAATTCTGCCTTGAAAATATCTTTTCTAACTCTCCACAGTCAGATTCTTTTCTACTCTTGTCTTCATACAGCAAGTAGCCTTTTACACAGTACTTCTTCTCCTTAGGACCTCTTGAAAGTTCTATTCTCAAAGTGCCTCTCCTAACATGCTATGCCCTCAAGGTAGGGTCTAAATTCCCATGGCTTCATCTGTCATGTTCATGGTATCCTTTAGTTATTGCAGACTGATAAGGCCTGCAATCTCCCAAAAGAGTGGATGGTGAAGGCTTAAATAAATGAGTCAAGCACCATCATTTTAGGGCTCCAGAAGCATCAAAAACCCTTTCACAGAATTCGAGATTCTCTGGGTTCTGAAAAAGAACTTCTCTGGGCTGCTCATATTTGTTTCCTTTTCAAACAAAGGAGGAAGAAACTGAAGAAAATGAAAATCTAGTAGGATCTTGGGAAATATTTTCCCAAGTAGTAAATTATGTCAATCAGGAGAAATACCTTATGTTTAGATTGACATTTACTGTAGGAGTGTGGTGCCTGCAGCTACAGTCTCCTTTTGGTTAATTGGGGTTGGAGCCAAACACCCTCAGCGGTGCCCTTATCCTGTCCTTTCAGGTATCACGGCTTTGCAGGCTAATACAGGTCTCAGCAGGGGCCAGGGACTCAAAGAGGTTTGCTTACTGAGTCTTGCTGCCTATCTTCAGACCAGGGCCTAAACTTCAGGGAAACTCACATGTAAACATGAAAAGCCAATTGGTTAATGTTAAATCCTTCTTGGAGCGCTTCCTGGTGGTCTCCATCATTGCTCCCAAGCCATCCTTCCAACTTAATCTCTTTTTCGTCTTCCCTCTACAAAAATAGTTCATTCTCCCCTACTGCTCCCAACCTGCATCCTTCAAATACTACATCCTCCATTTTGTTTTTAGGCTGGACTTCTCTAGCTTGTGGGGTTTTAAGCACATAATAACTTTATCAAGGAACTTCATTTGATCTCTCTAAAGTTGCAGTTAATAATTAGACCTTTATCTTCCTCATTGAATCACACAGTATTGAAGAACGGGATTTGAGCTTTCTTTCTTTCCATCTGCACCACCTCCCCCAACATTTGCACAGAGATCCTAGCAAGCCACCTTGCATGTGTATCGAGTAGGTTGTGTGTTTTCCTGAATTGAAGTGGGAATGGCAAAGCGTTCTTTCTTTTTTTTTTATTTTTTATTTTTTATTATTTTTTATTTTATTT